ATATGCGATTATCAGCGATGGCCGGGATCTCAACCGTCATGATTTCACCGCAGTTGAAGTCAGTCTTGATTAATAGTCCATTAGAAGGGCAACTTTTCAGCATCAACTATAGCGCATTTTCTGTGAATCATGGCAATGTTCACTGTCCCGCAGAAGTCGGTCGACTTTCTCATCTTTCTCGTCTCTTTCTTTCTCTTTCTTTTCGCGTTCTTTTTTTCCTGAAGGCGCAACCATAATGATAATCATCGGAAGCATTTACGTTTCAATATGTTGGTCGGGCTTTTAGAGGACGTTGCTAGTAAAAAAAGGTCTAAATTTTGGCCGCATCGCTCCAAGCCGGCTTTGTGTTGTGTTCTTCTCTCCAGATCTTCCCTCGTCGGTGGCCGAGCATCGCACGGGCGGGGAGGTGCTGAGATGCGTAAGTATGTGAAGTTTCATTCGGGAATAGGGAACACATTGTGAAGGAAGGAAGACTAGAGTGTATAATGTTATATTACGCCGTACATCTCAAAGAGCTCAAAAATCTCAGGATATTTTATCATATAATACCTTTATCACAGGCGTCTTAGATATTTTCCAAAGGGCCAGGAAAAAATCTTTAACAGTGTTTAATGAAGTTTTCAAGCAGCGCATAGTATTCCATTATTTACCTTTTAGTTAACATAACGTAGTAATAGCATGTTTGCTCGCAGGTCCGAGCTTACTGGTTCCCGTTCCTTCCCTTTTACGAAGAACCTAGAGGCTGAACATGTTTTTTTTTTCCTTCGCTAAGACTTTCCTTGTTGGGATTGGGCCTGTGATGTACCGTCATGCTTCACGAAAACAAATTGGATCTGTGTAATCCGAGCTCGTGGTGTATTATTCTTGTAATTTTAAGCCAAGGATCAGGATTAGGTGCCAAGGTCCAGTCCTTTCTTGGCTGAGAAAGTGGGATCCTCCCTCTACCAGCGCTGCCATCCTCACCAGTGACGCGCATATGTGACATCTGCTTGCGTACGACGATGCTCTCTCGCGTTTTGCCTTTCTTGGCAACGCTGTGTCTCCTTGTCATACCATGGCCGACCTCACAGGGGAACTTGCAGTGGTTTCTATGGGTTTTTTGCTTGTTCTACCCAATGACATATCTCATCGCACTTCTTGTCTTATTTCAAGTATTAGATTAGCCCAAAGTAGTACTGACCAAGGATATTACACCATATTCGATCCCGACCCATTGCATGCCTTTGAGTCATTCTCTTGTTTTTCCGATTTAAACACCGAATCCGCGTTGTGCATTTCTGTTTGCACTACAATCGCACCCTCATTCAATGTATCTACTGATACAAAAAAAAGGAAATTCTCTTCTGTATGGGGGTTGGGAAGCTATTTTGGCAAACATACCGCTTACCGAAAACATGTGAACACTGCTGGTTCCCGAGACTTGGCCTCTGTTCTCCAGAACTTACTGGAACATATTAGATTGTCCCCAAAGTTTGTGCGTATTTTGAACTTCCTTTTGAGTTTGCTCCATTTCAAGCACATGCACTAACTATCATCATTATATGCACCACCACTATCAGTGACTTGTTGCCAACATCCAACCAAGAGTTGGCCGCTTAACTCTCAGAAGGCTGGCAGCTACGAGCTGAAAAAGGCAGTGAGGTCGATTTCGAGGTGCCTATGAGGAATCGTATTTTTTGTTTGCAAGATGATTGCTGAGCAAGAAGAGCAGACGTCCTTCCAAAGAAGGCTGATCACCGCTGCACGCGGAGACGGTAGTACTTCTCAACCGAAGCCTCGATATCTAGAGTTGGGCGCGTTCTCGGTTGTCGTGGAGCAGACACACTTTTCCGAGTTTTAAGGCGAGATGTTTGAGTTGTGCCGTGAGTCTCTGCTGTTGATCACACTAGACCTTACTGACTTCATAGCTGTAGCGAGAGAGATGTTTTTAGTGGTTTACTCGAGAACGCACCAAAAGAGGTGGAGCACGACCTTGTGGTGAATTTCTTCACTTTTCACCCTCTTCTGTTCGATCCAGTCCCTGAGGATTCTAGGTGTGGTTATCATGAAACCTGAGCTTCTCAACTGCAGTAGTGGCTTTGTTCAACCAGGGCGTACGGGTGGAGTAGGAAACAAATTACAGTCAGGAACGTCGTGTCGCAGTCCTTCCACCTCTGTCGTCAATTCATGAGGAAACCTTTGGCAAAGCTTCAACCCTTTTACGAAGGAGCAAGAACCTCTATGAGCAGCGCATCTAAAACATCAGGGTGTGGTAGCTACATAGCAGGTTGCACAAAGTGTATCGCTTTCCACGGGAGAAGGCGCGCCGCCTGCCCAAATTCAACACCGATGGCCTTTCTGGAAAAGGGTTCTTCTCCCGGCTGTAGTCTCCTAAACAAAGGAAAATTCCCATTCTGGTACCTCATGGCTGGCCAATGCCGAGGAGATCTATCGCAAAGCATATGCTACTTCTGGCTTCAATCGGTTTTTGGCTCAGTAGAGGTGTCATAGTCAGAGCATGGAAAACATGGCTCTTTTCTTTTATCACTTTGAATTCGAAGAAGACGATTAGGGTGGGCATGGATTTGCGTCACGACGTTACTACACGTTTGTACCCCTCTCAAAGCTACGTGGATTATACTAATAATTAGCAATGCAGAAGCTTGGTGGCAGTGATGCGTCAAAAGATATGCCACGAACTTCTTGAGACAACCCTAAATATTAGGCAGCTTACTTTTTTAGTAAGATATAGCAAGCAGTGCCCTCCGCTTTAAGGTCCTTACGCCCGTCAAGTATGAGCTTCTGCTCGTTGTGTTTTTATTGCACTTTGTCCACCTGAATTGGGATTTTCTTTCAAACATTTTTCAAACACCGCCTATGTGAAGAACTCAAAACTCCCGCTAGGTGGTTCTCCTACTAGCGGGGGTTGAGCTCTTCACATGGGGGCTCTCCCACTTCCTTCACGATTTGGAGCGCAGCCGTGCTGATGGAGTGGTTTCGAACCTACCCGCACAGTTCGCGGGCACTACCAACTCGTCCGCGATCGCCGCGGCCGCCCCCAAATCGTAAGGGAAATGGAGAGCTTCACATGGGCGGTGCATTGGGAAAAATCATGAATCACTGGCTACTTGCTAAACGATGGGTGCCAATGTAGTTCCAAGGTAACGACATCGAGGTCCAGTTTTACTACAACCCAATATCCATTAAGTTTCAGCAGTGCTTGAATCTCTCAATTTGGCAAACGAAGAAAGGTGCTAACTTAGTTGGGGGGGGGGCACGCGGCGGCGCGGCAGTCTGCTCGCCTGGCATGTTCGGAAATCCGTGGGCCAGGGGGAGTGTAGCCAGTCTAGGGGGTGGGGGTGGGGGCAGTCACTTGACATGCGTGAAAAGCTGGAATGTTCGAGTTTACACTGTCTCGCTCGAGAGAGCCCAGGTGAGCAGACTGCCGCGCCGCCGCGTGGCCCCCCCCCCCAACTAAGTTAGCACCGGAAAAACTCTGTATCAGTTGAAAACCCCGTGGGAATGGATCTAGGCATTGCAGTGCTATTACCCCTCATACTTTGTTGTCTCAACAGTAAGTTCATGGCAATTATATGATTCGTAAAGGCTTGTTAAAACATATAAAATAGAGCATACAAAAATAAACTAAACATGCAAGTAAATATGAATGAAATTAAATAAGTGAATATATCACACTCCATGACTTCTTTTTATTAATTGCTAATTTTCGAGTACCCGACAGGAAACCCATCGCGTGGCGCCAACAAAAATCGAATTCCTCCACGTACTTGAAGGAACCGGAAGCATGGTGCTTTTTTCATCAGAAACTAACCAAGTTGCTTTGCTTTCTTTTACCAAAATTGTGAAGTTGTGAAAGAAATTCTCCGTATGCGCCATGCACCAAAGTTTCACTCAGATTTTTTTGAATTCTGTGGAAGGTGTGATCCTTATCAATCAAAGTCAAGCCGTTTTCGCGTACGGAGAAACTTCTAGATATTACGAGTAATTGTCACGGGAGTGATCAGCTATGCATAGCGAGATGAGTAATGTCGATCTCGCATGAGGTGAATAAGTCTTTCACATCTCAATTTTTACTTCCTCTTCCGGGTTCATATTATATTGGGTTGATGCATAATTATTGCGGCATTTTTCAACAAATTTTATTCAGAGAAAACGATAAAATATTTAACAAAAACACGTTAAATGATTATTCCGGAGCGTAGACACCATCCTTCAAGAATGCTTCCCATTTGCTTGGCAGTCGGTCGATTCCACGGGTGAAGAAGTCACGATTCTTGGAGACGATCCACGCTCTAACATCGGCCACCAAGTCATCCAGCTCGTCGTAAATTTTGTTCGTTTGCCAGTTTTTCAACGACTGATTGAAGTGGTAGTCTGTAGGAGCTTCGGTCGGTAAATGTGGCGTTTTGAACCTCTTGAACCATCTTTCAACTTGGCTTTTGCTAATTGTTCCCTCGCCGAAAAGTTCGTTGAGATCGCGAAATGACTCTGCCGCCTTCCAACCTTTCTCGAAGTGGTAGAGCATATGTGGCGAATATGAAGATGATTTTCGATAAGCATTTCTGTTAATGAAAGAGAGAAGAATATTTTCATGAACAAATAATAAACAAAACGCCAATCTTTTCGAAAAAAGAAGGCGCGAAAAAAATCCGCAATAATTATGCATCAACCCAATATTTCTGTTCCTGCGCGAGGACTGTTTCCCCCAGCGAACACTGTAGTTCAGGCCTTTGAAAGTCTTTACGAACTTGCTTGGAGATTAACGCTTGGAATTCTTCTCGAAATTTCGAGGATATAGCGCTGAGACCTCCGCAAACATGTTCTTCACTAGAAAGAGTTCTTCCAAAGAACACTTGCCTATAGGCGCCGTCACAAGACAAATTAGAGACACCCACACGTTGATGATTACGAATTGAGAGCAACAAGTAACATATATATCAAAACGGTCCAAAATGCGTATTTAGACTACCCACTTCCTTCGAAAAGGCTCGAGAATAAGGGCGGCAGGAAGTTCGATAGCAATATTGATTAATATCGATTTCGGTCGTAATTTTGAGTTTATTTTGAAATGGATTCAGAAATAGAACAAAAGATATACAACCAAATAGTCCATTTTGTACATGCTTTGCCTCTAACTAAAAGAGGGGAAAACAAAAAAAAAAGGGTAAGTGGTGGGAGGAAAAATCTTGTTTGGGCTTGTAGGAGTTGGACTCTCAGGCAATCACTGTCAATTT